AAGAGTGAGCTGAGGCGGCGGGGTCGAGAACAGCGGTCCCGGCGAAGGAGCGGTGAAAACGGTGAAAGCCGATCCGGCGATCCACAGCACTAAGTTGAAGTATTCCCTCAGCAACCAGCACAGATAAGCTCTAGGCATGACGAAGCGAATATCGTCCTCTTTTGGAAGACCAAACAAAGTAGTTTCGCTTTCACAACGAAACACACAGCGTCTTCACGACATGGCGGCAGCGGCAACAATACTACAGCGAGAATAAAAGTTACGCCTTCTTTCTTTGCGTGAGCATTTGGGCGGCTTTATGCAAATCTTCTCACATAGTGAGGTAGATACGTGGGGGCGTGTTAGAACGAGCCGTTTTAGGTAGGTGTGGCTTACTCTTAACTTTTTATAAAGAATATCTCTTTGCATTTGAGACTTTAGTCTTTGCAACTTTACAGATCTTCTTTATGCACCAAGAGCTTGTAACACTCCAAAGAGAAAGGAAAAAATTAAATCGCATCATATGACCCCTTTAATAGCTGAAACAGTAGTAATAGCTGTTTTGGGAGAAGGGGAAAAAAAGACCGGCTCGGGCCGGTGATTCTGATAAGCTGTCGGACACGGGCCGGGCTAGGGCCTAAATTGGAGCATGATTTTGCTCCATATGGTTCAGGACAGTGAAAAGCACCAGCTGCCTGTGCTTAGCAGTGTAGTTATTTTCCGTCGGCAGTAGTTTAAACCACATGAATGTATATGATGTCTCCTGCTGTGCACGTCTACAATTAGCATGTGCCCTCTTAGCATAGCGCTTTCATTTCAGACCAGCCTGCTGTTTAATGGGCCGACTACCTTTCCTATCCTGCATTCTTTTCAAATGGCTTCCTTTTTCCCTGAAGAGCCGAACCACTTCACATAGAACTCATTCAGCAGCTTTTTACACCTGAGACTCTGGCAGCATCTCGGTCCTGTGAGCCAATACGATAAATAAACATCAACACTTCCTACATCCTGGTATATGTTCAAAACCTCATGGGTGACTTAAAGCCACAAGCACTTAGAGTACAATGTCAACATATGTTTGTAACTGTGTACATTGAACCAAGCAAAAAAAATAGCTTGAGGTGTAAAGTGAAAATTCCCTCTCTCATATGGGCCTTGTCCTGAAACCTACTGCCCTTAAAGGAATAAATCAGCCAAAAATCATCTTTTACTCAACCTTGAGTTGTTACAAATACATACAACTGTTTTTTTTTTTCCTGTGGAAAAGAAGAGGAGATATTAGTCAGATCTTTTCTGTACAGTGAAAATGAATAGGAACGGATGCTGAAATGAATAATGAGTTAATAACTTTTAATATAAGGTTTTTTTTATTTTAGTATTTTAATTTATTCATTTTATAAAGTTTGTTTTTGTACTTTACCATTGTACGGTGGCCGAGAGAGCTCAACGTGCTGCAAATGAAAAAAACACATGCAAATAGAAAAACACCTGCAAATTAAGAAAACATCTTCATCAATTTGACAACACACATGCTGCAAATTCTCACAACACAAACAAATACAGAAACGCGCTGCAAATACTCACAACACAACCAAATGCAGAAATGCGCTGCAAATACAAAACAAACAAATACAGAAACGCGGTGCAAGTTCTCACAACACAAACAAACGCACTGCAAATACAAAACAAGCAAACAAAAACAAACGCGCTGCAAATACAAAACAAGCAAACAAAAACAGAAACGCGCTGCAAATTCTCAACACAAACAACGCGCTGCAAATACAAAACAAGCAAACAAAAACCGAAACTGGCTGCAAATATGCACAGACCATATCATTTGTTTGTGTTGTGAGTATTTGCAGCGCTTTTCTGTATTTGTTTGTTGTGTGAGTTTGCAGCGTGTGTGTTGTCAAATTGATGAAGACGTTTTCTTAATTTGCTGGTGTCTTTTCTATTTGCATGTTTTTTCATTTGTAGCGCGTTGAGCTCTCTCGGCCACCGTACCATTGTTTTATTTTTTTCTATTTTTAGTTTTCTTATGTTAGTTGCCACAATTAATTTGTCAACTGGTATCATTAAAAATGTAGTGCTTTTATTATCTATTAGCACTTTCACGTTTAATGCATGTTTAAAGGGGTCATATGATGCGATTTCAATTTTTCCTTTCTCTTTGGAGTGTTACAAGCTCTTGGTGCATAAAGAAGATCTGTAAAGTTGCAAAGACTAAAGTCTTAAATCCAAAGAGATATTCTTTATAAAAGTTAAGAGTCAACCACACCTACCTAAAACGGCTCGTTCTAACACGCCCCCACGTACCTACGTCACGATCTGGGAAGATTTGCATAACGCCGCCCAAATGTTCACGCAAAGAAAGAAAGCATAACTTTTATTCTCGCTGTAGTATTGTTGTTGCCGCCGCCATGTCGTGAAGGCACTGTGTGTTTCGTTGTGAAAGCAAAACTACTTTGTTTGGCCTTCCAAAAGAGGACGATATCTGCTTCGTCATGCCTGGAGCTGATCTGTG